AGCTAATGAGGTCATGTATTTTCAATAGCTTCACTGAGTTACTGGCATGTAATAAACTGCACGTATTTGAAAAATAATGCATTTGAAAGAGCACTTGTAAACCACAAAACTCTCATCTCTACCAGGCTCAGAATCTCCCAGTAGGGCCCTAATTTTTTAAGCCATTCTCTGTTGAGTTTTGAAGAGCCTTTGTAAGTGGGCTGCCCCTTCCCTGGCCAACCTCATTTCTCACCACTTCCTGGTGCAGACACTCTGATACAGTAAGACCAGCCTTCTTCATTAACATTCTTTCAAGGGGCTTTTCCCTAGAACACCAACAGTGAGCCCCAGGCTCCCACCACTCATGTCCCAGCCCCTTCGTTCTCCTGCACACAGTCAGCGCTTGAACACTGAGGCCGTACCCTCTGCCAAGCACTGTCCTAAGTGCTGCGGGATGCTTCTGCGAGCAAGAAAGACCAGGTTCACTGGCCTCCGCAGCTCCCACCCCCGAGAGAGCTCTCCGAGGTCAACCTGCTGTTCTCCTGCCAGAGCCATCCTTCCCTAACCAAGTCTCCCAGCTCCAGTTCCCTCTCCTAGAAAAATCTCTTTCTATTCCTGTTAACTAATATCCTATCCCTCTTTTTTCCTATAGCACTTGTAGGCTGTTTTGTGTAATTTTATGTTGCAAAATTCTCACAGGTGTAAGCACCGTACAGGGATCTACTTTTGCCATAACTTCATAACCCAAAGTAGACATATGAAACGCTTACTGATTTCAACAGAGTCCATCAGAAAGGGAGGGCGTGTGTGAGAAACTTTCTGAGGGAACAGAACCCATCATTGCCCCTCCGTGTCACCTGCACCGTGGGCTGGTAGATCCTATTGGGAGGGTGGCACTAGCGAGGACAGACTGATTCACGGCTTGTCCAAAGCCAACGACAGGGGAAGCCATGCTCAAGGACACCTTCCTGCCTCCCGAGAAAGAAAGACTAATGTCTCCTAGCAACCAGATTCCAGCAGCTTCCTGTCCTCACAGCCTGCCGGGGCTCACTGCTTTGTTGCCTTGGGTTTTGCATTTTGGCATTGCTGATCATTGCATTCATTCTCAATTCCGAAACTTTAGGAATAAGGTCTGATCTGCAGGCTAGCTGACTAGGTTAGAGCTGAGAACCATTTCGTTCATAGCACGCTTTCAGCAATCACATAATTTTCAGGGAGCAGAATGTTTGCTCTTAGCTTAAAAAGGGTGGATACGTTTTTTCAAGATTTTATTTATATCAGAGCAGTTGGTTTGAAAGATACCTAAGAAGGAAAAAGTAAACTTCTTTCCATCAAATAATCAAAAAGTACTCAAACCTTTTCAAAAAAGATGCACTGTCATTCGGTTATAGCAATAAACTTTAACATGGCAAATTCACAGATGCAGAAAGGCAAGTCAAATTTGAGGAAAATGACTCAAGATCCTTAAAAGTTCTGATGGCTTAAAATTATATCTGCCAACTGGCTCGAGTATCATCAATTCTCTCTTTCCAGAGATTTCCAACTTCAGTTCTATTGTCCACAGTGCTACATTTTTATGTTAGTGAGGTTAAATTCAGCAGATGGTGTTGCTTTTTTAGTTTTCCCTTGTTCTTATCAAATATTCAGCAAGACACAATACGGTACTCATCTATTTTTTTAAAAAATGTATTCAGACTTCATAGTGAAGTGTTCAAAACCAACTCTAAATAGAGCCTTAATTCCCAAAACTCTATACATGCGAGTTAAGATTCTGATTACTTTTCTCTTTCAAAAAGGAGAAGCTGGAGTTAGAAAGGTGAGTTGAGTGCTCAGGACTGCTCAACCCAGAACTCCCGCCCGCACCGTCAGTGCTTGGTCTTGAGTACCCAGTAGTGAATCCGGGCTTATGAGCCTGCAGCCTCTCTGTTCATGCAGGGAGGGAGCTTGGGCTCTGCAGAGTCATGAGCCCCTTGGAGAAACTCATTTCCTCCCACTTTCCCTCCCCTTCTCCCAGCAATAAAGTCACGAGTCAAAGATGAATTCTAACCATTCTGGTGGTGGTGGAATCTCACCAACCCAAGATTGAGCCGTTTCTTCTCAAGAAAAGTAGAGGGTTTACCAGGCAGCTGCTATCAGCTTTCATCTTTTCATCATCCACTTTTGAAATCTAGCTTTGGATGTATTTTTACTAAGGGGGTGTTAAATATTCCCTAGAACATCTCTCTCTCATGAGCTCTTTGATGACCTCTTTTGGGGTTCTACACACATGTGTTTCAAGGGTGCAGAATTAGTCATGTGGTTAAAGCAGAACACTCCTGCACTCCCCTTTGCTTGCCATTAAGTAACCTTGTATGTGGATCAAGGCTTTCCTTATTGTCTCGGTTTGTTCTTTATTCCCTGAAATGGTCAGGACACCTGTCAACTGTCTCGGGAGAATGAATATATTTAAAGCCAGTAAAGAACTTTTGATGAAAAGGAAAAAGTGCTCTGCCACCCACTTGTCTGAGCTCTGCTATTTTAGTCTTTAATTGCCCACCATGCAACTCCATTCACCTGTTGTTTTAATACTTCAGGTAAATTCAGCTTAATCATATTTTTCCAAAGGGGAAAAAAAGTAACCCTGACTCCTCCTCTGGCTCTTTTCAAACATCTGCTTGTAGCTGTGGAAGGAACTGAGGTAGGCAAGGCCCTGGGAAGCAGGCCTGTGTCTCACTCCCCTGAGCCCCGCAGGCATTCAAATCACTGCATAAGACACAGAGGATTCAAGACTAAGGGGCCTGGGTCCCAGCCTTCATCGTTTCCATTGTCATGACGGTTTACACAATAATCATAAATGACCAAACTGATTAGGGGTTCTATGAAACCAAACAGATTGGGAGGCAGTGTAGAAGAGTGGTTGACTAACTGCGTAAATTTTACATTCCCACAGACCTGGGTTAAGCTTCCAGATCTGTCATTTACTAGCTGTGTGACCTTGGGAAAGTCACTCCACTTCTCGGAGCTTCCTATTTCTTACCTGTAGAACAGGGATTATGATAACTACCTATATGAAGGTCAGTGTGAGGAAGAAGTGAAATCATGTATCAGAGTTTACCACAGTGCCTGTAAGTACTGCTTATTGAATAACAGATGATATACAGGGTGCTTTGATATGTGTTCCTATATTAGATTATCTTATCAAGTATCTGTTACTTCTATACAAAGCACTGTGCTGAGTATGGGGACCCCCTCCCAAAATTTGAACTCCCTCTTTCCTCAGAAACTTTATACCCCAATTGCTAATCAAGAGGCAATACAGAAACCCACAGAAAAAGGAAAAGCGCAGTTGAACACACTTTTTCCTGAGTGCTGTCCATTCTCTGTAGAGTCAAGTGCAGACATGAGGCTGACACTGCCTTAGTTACTGCCCCCCTGGGTCACACCTGCGCAACCAGGGCAGTCAATGAAATAACAGTCAACACTCATTCAACAAATATTCATTGACGTCTACTACATGCCAGGCGTGTGCTAGGTGATGGATACATCAGTCTTCCTGGGGCTTAAGTAGCATTCGGGGTTTGTTTTAAGCATTTCACATAAACTAACTCTTTTAACCCTTCAACAAAGCTAGGAAGGGGGTACTAGCATTAGTTCCGTTTTACAGATGAAGAAACTAAGCACAGGGAGGTTAAATAACTTGTCCGAGGCCACACAGGGAATACGCAGCAGAATGAAATCAGACCCAAGCAAAGTGGTTCTAGGGTCTTTCCTCTTGACCCCACGCCTTTCTGCTTTCTGACAGCATTTGGTCACATGAGGGGACTATTTCACGCCTCTGGCTTGGTTCCTTTACTCCTCTTTTCAAAGATGGACTCCCTAGGTGATAGGATTGAGGCTTTACTCTTTCCTTTCAGCTCTGAATACTTTAAAAGGGGCTGTACAAACCCTGTGGACACTAGTTAGGCCCTCCATTGCCCAAGCCGTGTGTCATCAGTTATCATATTTAAGGCAATCTCCCGCTCTTTTGAAAAAGAATTACAAACACACTTTGATGCATTAAAAATACCTACTTTAGCAGAGGTTTACTTCATAATCTAATAAAACAGGTTTCTAACTTGAAGGCTTTTACAGCCTTTGAAGTATTATTTAAATTGTCCTAGACAGAAATTACTTATAAAATCAAACTGTCACTTTATAGCAGAATTAAAATTAATATGCTCCTCTTGATTCCTGCACTTGGGCATAAATGCCCTTGAGTACAATGCTCTGAAATTTGGAATGCTAAAATCTGAACCCTTTTCTCTGTCCAGTCTGTGTCTCTTGCGGTAAAAGGCAAAGAATACCAATCATCAATAACAACCAGGATGAAGGAAGAGTGTTTACTTCCAGCCTAAGGTCACTTTCTTTCCGAGTTCTTCAGCTACGTTAGAGAAATCATTTGAACAAGAGAAAAAAGGAAAAACTGCCTCATATTTGCAAATGGGCCCAAATAGTCTCAGGACATAAATTTTTCTTAACGGTTGGGTGTTAGCCTTCAGATGCTCTTTTTAGAACCTAGACCATCCTGTGCACACAGTAGGCTATTAGACCAGGCACTAAGTTTTGCCCATGGTTAGCAAATGACATACAAAGAACAAAATTGCTCCCTTGAAGTTGAAATCAAAGAGCCTTCGTGAGTAGCCTTATACACATTGGAACCCAAGAGTACACACATGGGTGTGGTAGAGGCAATCCAGAGAGAGGGGCACACTTCCCAGGGGTTGTTTTAAACAATGACAGACTCCAAAATCCAAATGTGACGTGTTGGAACATGAAACACACACGTACACACACACTTGTGAAAAATACTGCCAAAGTCCCTCAAAGCCAAAGTTTAGAAGAACACGTGCTCTGGATACAGCAACAGTAATTTCAAAATCACTCCATGTGTGATACCCTTCTTCATCTCTTTGATTACTTTGGCACACCACTTAGCAAATAACGGAGAAAGAGAAATATGAAGCTGGAGACAGAATATGTAATTATAAAGCAAAGCCACCCACCTTGCTTTTGGGGTCAGGAAGTACAATGGCCTTCTTTTGCAGCAAGAATGAATTTAACACCAGTGTGTTAAATGAACACATATATATTTAAAAGAAAAGAAAATGGTTCTTTAAAAAAAAAAAAAAAAAGAAGTTGCAGTATTGTCCTCAGAGCAAGTCTTACCCCAAAAATCAACATAAAATAAAAGCAGCATACTGTGGCTCTTTGGTACAAGGCAGAAAGCAGAGTCCTCAAGGCACTATTCCCCTGTTTTGCGAAACAAAACAAAAAGCGACAGTAAAAGGTGCTGTTTGGCAGAAGGGGGAGTTCCTTCAAACACCTCGAGCCCACCTGGGGCTCTCCCCGTGCCTTCTCTCGTTGTGGGCTGGAGAAGTCGCACCGATCAACACCAATGTCACCATCGGCTGCTTAAATGCCACAAAAGTACACTTAGAAATGAGAAGAAAGTGACACGGATATGCTGAGCCAGCCCCACTGCCACTAGAACAGCCTTAAATGCCCACACAAGGAGAATAAAAAGAAAAGCACATTTTGCAATAGAATAAATTCTTTTTTAAAAAAAATTGAGACCGCGGAAAGTCACATGACCCTGCATGTAGCCTCTTAGGCAAACAACCAAAATGGTAAAGACAGACGCGGGGGCTGCCTCCTTCCTCCCGCCGCCTCTCAGCCAGTCCTGCCCGTGTCCGCATTCTTCTGGGCGCATCTGTGGAGCTATTAAGTGGGATAATCCCTCTGGCCTTTGATACATTTCTGGACATGATTATTTCATTACTCGCAGTATATCAGTAGGATCATAATAAAAAGGACTTCTGACAACCTGCCAAGAGTTTTGTGGCCTTGTAAACACAAAAGTGCTCTAATAAAATTTTATTAAGTGTTAAAAAGTCATAAAAAGTGAAATAACATAAACTACAAAATTTACTGTCCTCAGCAAATGCTGAAAATATCGTCCACAGTAAAATTAAATTAGCATGTAATAGACGGACAAGCGGTGTGGAGTGGATTTAAAAGAGGATCCAGGGAAAATAACACTGTAACCCAATCTGGGTCACGGGGATTTAATTCGGATTCTTCTCCCTCAATGTGAATAAATGCGCTGATTACAGACAAGAGCTCCGGGGTTACTGGAGTCTCACACATTGTCAATACTTTGGGAGAAATAATATATTGCGGATTTTAATGAGCTCCGAGAGACGCAGCGAGCGTCGCGGGGAGCGGGCGAGGGGCAGGGCGGCCACTAGGGTGCGCTGCGAGACCGGGAATCCCCGCCGGGGCACTCCACCCCCGGCCGCCGCGCCGCCGCGCCGCCGGGAGCCGCGCGCAAGCCGGGCCCTCGCCCCCCTCAAACTCGAATTTACAGGGTTTTTTTTCTTTCTTTCTTTCCCCCTCTCCTGTGACATTTACTCCAAATCGTAAAATGAAGTGTAAGCCGAGCTTTGCCGCAGGCGGCTCTCGGTCTCTGCTTTCAGACTCGAGGTCCCGGCGTGGGATGCGCTGCCCGCGGCGGTGCTAACCCCGGGGGACCGGGTGGAGCCCCCAGCGCCGCGCCGCGGGCCTGGCCTCTCCCTCGACCGAGGCCGAGGAGCGCGCGAGGCCCACGTCCGGCTCCGCCCGGGACGCGGGTGCGCTCGGAACGGGGCCGCCGGTTCAAGTGCATCCCCGGGCTTGGAGTCCGCGGCGCTGGGAGCGAGTTCCCCTCGCAGCCCCGTCTCCGGAGTCCAGCGTGGCCCGCCGCTCCTGGGAGCCCTCTTCCCGGCCCTCCTGGTTGCGCTGGGCGGCCGGCCTACAGCAGGGACCCGGCCCCGGGCCCACGGCCGCAGGCTCTCCAAGTCCAACGTGGAGGCTCCGCCTGGAAAAGAAGTCCGACTTCCTCTCCACGCTGCTCCGAGGGGAATCTGGACTCAGCAGGAAATTGCTCGAGCGCCCAGCCTGCGCCTTTGCAGTCAGCCGTCGCTCTGCTGAAGAGAAGCAGCTCCCACCAAAGTCTTGCCTCCCCCTCCCCCCGAAAGCCCCGCGCAGGTTTGTAAGGAGGGTGCGAGATCTGCAAAGTATTTGTCTTCGAGGGAGAAAGATGTCGGTTACGGTGCCCAATGAAAGACGGGTGTTTTTTAGCTAGAGATAACCAACGGGCTACGTCTTGTTTTGCAGTCCAAAATGATGCAGACGCTGCCATCTGAGGAGTCAGTGTCAGGAGTGTATTAATTATGTTAGTGAAATAGGAAATAAATGGACAGTGACACATTTCGTGGCATCAGTTTTCCTCAGGGATGTCTAAGGTTTTAAGCTTCATTTAAGAATGAGCTACATTCTGCCAGGAAGTAAATATTTTTTAGTAACCCCTTGCTAAAGCCCAGAAGAGGTAAGTTAAAGTTACCACCTAAGCTGCTTTAGTTTGCTGTCAAGGCTTGTGCGGGTTACTTGGAGGAGGATGCCTTGTATTTTTAATTTTCCAGAGAGCAAGAGCATTTGATTTTTATGTGGCCAGGTAATGTCCAAGGCAAATGGAGGACCCGAGGGTCGTTTGATAAGCAACGTTCGCTTGACACTTCTAGCCTAAAATAGCTATAATTAACTTATAGTGGGAATTATAGCCCCATGTTTTACATTTGATTGTCATAAGTTATATGGAAAAAGTGTTCTTTAACAGTTTTTTAAACAACCCTGTTTATTGTCATTTGCAAAGTATTGAATTTGAAATAGCCTGGTCTGGAGCATGGAGTTAAAAAGCAAAACAATTTAAATATGATTTGACATTTGCTATGAAAGACTTTGAGAACTAATAAAAACAGAATTAAGAAGAATGGATATAAGTAATAAAATTTCTTTTTGACTCAACCGTGGCTGCCTCGGGGAAGGGACAGATGACATGGTGGTGACTTTGAGCCATTCCCTGCAGAGGGCAATTGTGAATGTGGTTGGTCAGTGCTCCTTTGAAAAATGAAGGGCAAGTAGGCTTAAGGAGCAAATATAGAAACAAATATTTTACTACATAGGATTTTCTTAAGAGTTCAGATGGAAAGTTTTGTATTTAAAATTTCATGATTTCTTCGTTGATTTATGAAATTCAAAAGGAAACTTTATACTTGTATTATTTTGTTCTGGGATCACATTTCATATTGAAGTTCATCTGTCCTTCAGAAAAAATATTTTCATAAAAATATTTTCATCAGGATTAGTATTTTTAACTCTCTTTAGGTAGATGTATGATTGCTGTCAGTAATTTTTAAAAAAACGTTAACCAAGGTTAGCGCAACCCTATTCAAGGAGTTTGGTTTATTCCAAAACTATAAATGTAATCTAGATAAAATTGTAATATCAAAGATTTTTGTAAAGAAACTTGGGAATGAATACATTTTAAATGAATATTAAAACATGTTTTAAAAGAGTTCTCCCACTATTCCCCCCTTCCAAAGAAAAATCAGAGTTTTCCATTCTATAGAAATATTATAATCAGGTATAAGAAAATTATTACTATAATAACAGTTCTGTCAAGATGGTGGATACTTTTGAATGTATTACGAAGAAAAAAGAATATTCCCGGTTCTTTATATGTTTGAGGTACTTGAAATGGCTAGAAGTTTGTAAAAACATTTTACTACCAAAATATACAAGACCATTAAAATGTGCAAGTAATTAAATTTTAAGTGACTAAGAAGTATTTTTTCCAACTGCTTTTTAATCTTTGAAATTTTTATGTGTACTTCAATGAGTGCCTCTCTTTTAACTGTTCCAAGTATTTTGTTATATTATCTATATGATAAAAGTATTATTGGAATGTGTTGTGTTTTACTTTCTGCATGAACAGTTGAGAAATATTTTAATGTTCTTTTACATGTATATGGGATAAATTTGAACATGTGCCTTAGAGTAAAAAACAATCCAAGTTCATTTTTCTCTCCAAAACTTGACATTGATCCTGATCTCATAGTTTTTATATTACACAAACTGTTAGTGAAATCAATTTGGACATGCCAGTTTATAGGGAAATGTTAAGACATTACAAGTTTAATATAAAAGAATATATATTAAGATAAGAAATAGCTAATAGTCAAAATTAAATCAAGATGTGTACTTGTATCATTCACTCATTTAGATGATCATTTTAAAGGTAGTTTTGCACTCAGGAAGGATTTCCTTATGCTCTGTATTTATGAATAACTAAATTATTCTACTCGGCAACTTAAAAACTCAATAACCAGATACCAAATTTATGTATTTTTAAGGCTAAGGATATGAGAAGCAGATTGGCTTCATGAAAGAAAGCAAGCATTTAAAATATAAACTTAATTTCAGTTTCTGACAGAAATACTGTGGCCAGCTCATCAGTTTTCCAGCATGTAAAAACTACCTTTTCCACATTAGAAGTTCATATTTAAGTTTTCTTAACTGCAAAATCACTCTAAAACAGTGTTTTATGTTAAGGATCATTTCATGTGTTGGTCTCATTGATTACACGTGAATGTATAAAAATCTTGTTTAAAGACCTGTAAAAGTGAGGAAATTCCAAGTCAAGCTGGCTAATTCCATTCATAATTCATCCCGAGTGCCCGACTTAGGAAACTTGCACACAGTTTATAGCTCTACATACAAAATAAGTTGACTTGTTTTGTAAGCGGGGAAGGAGAGTTAACTTTGACCTCCTTGCTCAGAGAGGCTTAAGATGACACAACTGTGGAATATAGGTTAAGCTTTTTGGTTCCCCAGGAACTTCCAAATGTCAACCCTTTTTGGATTTTTGCATTTTGAAAATGTAAACACAGAAGGACAACTTTTGTGTTCTGAGATGGGGCTGACTTTCATCCACCCGTTTCCTTCCTGCTTGCACATTTGTTCAGTAATTCTTCCGAGTACTGGGGGAACGACAGAGGCCCTGCCATGAGAAAACAGCATTCACCATGTCTCTGTCCCCTTCAGCTGTCCCTGGCCCTCCTTTTATTCTGAGCGAATTGGGCAAGAATTTAGTACTTATACTCACATGATTCAAACTGCTAGATCCACAGCCCAGAGTACTTTGGGGGTTGGCAAGAAATCCATCTAGACTTTGCATTCTGAGCTGGGAAAAACTATTGGGGAATCCTG